CGCAGCCGCGCCGCGACAGCCACTGCGACGGCAACGACAATCACCGCGGCGCCCACGACAATCAATCGCACCACGGCGGCCACCGCCACAGCCGCGACAACGACCCTCACGAGCGCGCGCGCACCGACGACTACCACCACGGCCATAACAAACGCGACAGCGGCCCTCACGCGCGAGCAAGCCACTGCAGCCACCGCGACAGCTCCAACAGCCACGACAGCGACTCACACCTGCAAGCGCGCCGCGGCGCCCACCGCGACAGCCGCGACAGCGACTCTCACGGGCACGCGCATCGCGACGACTAGCACGACAGTCACCGCGAGCGCGGCTGCGGCACTCAAGAGCAAGAGCACCGCACCGGCCACCGCGACAACTACGACCGCCACCGCGGCATCCACAGCAACCAAGCACACCGCGGCAACCACCGCGGCAGCCACGACAGTTACTACAGCGGCACCCACGAGCATGCGCACCACGACAGCTACCGCGGAAAACCACAGCCGCGACTCCCACGAGCAAGCACGCTGCCAGGACCACCACGACTACCATGACAGCCGCGACAGCGACTTCCTCGAGCAAGCACACAACGACGGCCACCACGAGAGCCACGACAGTCACCGCTGCGCCCGCGACGTGCAGATGCACCGCGGTGGCCACCACGACGGCCGCAATAATAATCGCAGCGGCACTCGCAAGCACGCGCGCCACCGCGACTACCGCGACATCCGCGGCAGCGGCCCCCGCGAACACGCGCGCCACGACGGCCGCTGCGACAGCTGCAACAGTGGATGCCGCGAGCAAGCGCGCCGCGACGGCCGCGGCAGCAACCGCGAATGTCACCGCGCCATCCACGTCGTGCAAGTGCACCGCGACGGCCACCGCGACAGCCACAACCGCGACACCCACGATCGAGCGCGCCATGACGACCACCACGACGGCCGCGACAGTGACTCGCGCCAACAACCACGCCACGACGGCCACCACGACAGCTACGACAACGACCGCGACCCCCACAAGCACGCACACCGCGACTGCTACCACAACAGCCACAACACGCACCCCAGCGGCGCCCACGACGACGACCAAGACAGCCACAACAGCCACCAGGACAATTACAACAGACAGCGCAAGCACACCATGACGGCCACCACGACAGCCAAAACAAACACAACAACGACTCTCACGAGCACGCGCGCCACGACAACCACCGCTGCAGCCGCGACAGCAACTCTCACGAGCAAGCGCACCACGATGGCCACCAAGACTACCGCGACAACCGCGACAGCGAATCCCACGAGCAAGTGCACAACGGCGGCCGTTGCGGCAACCATGCCAGCCACATCGCAAGCACATCGCGGCGGCCGCCGCGACGCGCGCGAGAGCCACTGCACCGACTCCCACGAACGCGCGCACCACTACGGCTACCGCGACAGCCACAACAACAACTCACGCGAGCGCGCGCGCCGTGACGGCCACCACGACAAGCTAGCACGCCGCGGCGGCCGCCGCGACGGTCTCGACAGCGGCCCTCGCGAACGCGTGCGCAACGACGAATGCCACGACAGCCATAACAACCACAACAACGACTCCGACGTGCAAGCAAGCTACACCAGCCACCGCGACAGCTTCAGCAGCCACGGCAGCCGCGATAGCGACTCACGCCAGCAAGCACGCCGCGGCGGCCACCGCGACAGCCGCGGCAGCCGCGACAACGACTCTCACGAGCACGCGCGCCACGACGTCTACCACGACAGCCACAAGCACGACAGTGGCGCTCAAGAGCAAGCGCGCCGCAACCGCCGCCGCGTCAGCTACGGCGGCCACCGCGGCATCCACGACAAGCAAGCGCGCCGCGGCGACCGCCGAGGCAGCCGCGACAACTACTGCGGCAACGCCCGCGGGCACGCGCGCCGCGACAGCTACCGCGACGGCCGCGACAGCGACCCCCACGGGCACGCGCACCGCCGCAGCTACCGCGGCGGCCTCGACATCGACTCCCACGGGCATGCGCGCTGCCAAGACCACCGAGACACCCGCGACAGCCGCGACAGCAACTCCAAAGGGCGAGCGCGCAACCACGGCCGCCGCGACAGCCGCGACGGTCACCGCGGCGCCCGCGGCGTGCAAGCGCGCCGCGGCGGCCTCCGCGACAGCCGCGGGAATGACAGCAACGGCGCCCGCAAGGACGCGTGCCACCGCGGCCACCGCGACATCCGCGACGGCGACTCTCGCGATCAAGCGCGCTGCGGCGGCCGCCGCGACAGCCGCGACAGCGGGTGCCGCGAGCAAGCGCGCCGCGACGGCTGAGACGACAGCCGCAACTATCGCCGCGGCGCCCGCGACGGGCAGACGCGCCGCGGCGGCCACCGCGGCATCCGCGAGAACAAGCACAATGACTCCCACGAGCGCGCGCGCCACCATGACTACCGCGACATCCGCGACAGCGGCCCTCGCGAGCAAGCGCGCCGCGATGACCGCCGAGACTACCGCGGCAGCGGATGCCGCGAGCAAGCGCGCCAACGGCCGCTGCAACATCCGCGACAGTCAGAGCGGCATCCGCGCCAAGCCAGCGCATCGCGAGGGCCGCCGCCACAGACGCAACCGCGACATTCACGATCAGGCGCGCCACGACGACCACCGCGATAGTCGCGACAACGACTCGCGCCAGCAAGCGCGCCGCGACGGCCACCGCGACAGCCGAGACAACGACGACAGCGGCTCTCGCGAGCGCGCGCGCCACGACGGCTACCGCGACGGCCGCCGCAAGCACCGCGGCGACACTCAGGCGGTTGCGACGGCCGCCGCGACGGCCGCAATAATCGCGACAGCGACTTTCGTGAGGACGCACACCGCGACGGCTACTACAGAAGCCGAGACAGCGACTCCCACGAGTAAACGCGCCACGACGACCGCCAAGACAACTTCGACGAGCGACTGCAACTCCCGCGAACGAGCGCTCGACGACGATCACCGCGACAGCCAGGACAGTCACCGCGGCATCCACGACGAGCAGGTCAGACTCATGCGCCTCCAGAACAGAAGCGAGCTCCATGGCGCGGAGGCTGCCCTTGGTGCAAAGTAATTGGATTCAAGATGGCAGTTCATCTATGGTTCTCGTTGCGCACCTGTTATTGCCGACAACTTCGAGGTCATAACAATGCCCAAAAGACGGCGCTTGCCGAGTTGATGCGCTCCGCAACAGGGCCCCCGTGCCGCGGCGAAATCGTCGATTCCTGCTGCGTTCAATAAGCCGTGGAAGCGCGCCAGCGACGATGGTGGAACAGAGGGCCTGTTTGATGCAATATTCGCCGATGGGCAACCGTTCGACGCCATGCGCCAATCCTTCGTTCAACACTGAATGCTCCACGAACACCATCAGATATTGCATCTTGGATGCCCCGCTCAACTATGAGCAGCCTCGCGAATCCCCCTCGCTTATCCCCCCGCCCCCCTCGCGGGGCGGGCGCGGGCGCGATGAAGGGGGGGGGGCCCGCGAGGCGCGAGCCGCGTCGAAATGCGGCCGCTTGTCTGCCGCGCGTCCGCCGGAAGCGCGAAGCACGAAGCGCGCCCGCGCGCGGGGGCCTTCGAGGGCGCTGCGGGCGCGGCGCCTGAGCGCCGAAGCGTCAGGAAGCGAGGCCTGATCAGATGTCGCCCGCGACGATGGAGATCGCGCCCTTGGGGCTGGAAGTCGAAAGCTGGAGGTGAAGCCTGGGCGGCTGCGGCTGGCGGCGATTGCTGCGAGTCTGAAGCTCAGGGCTGGGGGTCGGCCGCGCGGCGCGAAAGGTCAATGGGTGGGCGTCGAAAATTGGCGGCGGAAGGCTGGATGTTGCCAGCTGTCGGCGGGTGGCTGGGGTCGGAAGTCGGGCGCTGGATGTCGGCCAGTGAAATCGGAATCGACCGGTGGAGGTCGAGAGCTGGTCAAGGAAGATCTTGGAGTCGGCAGCTGCGGGTGGGCGGTGGGCGTCGGAAATTGGAAGCTGGATGCCAGTGGCGCGAGGTGGGGGGCCGATAAGTGGAAGTCGAAGGCTGGAGGTGGAAGACGGGGAACCGGCAGCGGTCAGTGCGCGGCGGGGGCCGGGAGTTGGAAGCCAGAGGTCGGTCAAACGCGGTGGGAAGTTGAGAGATGAAGGTCGGGGAGATAAAATGGGAATTTGGACGTCATCAGCGGATGTTGGATGGCGGAAATCAAAAGTTGGAAGCTGGGTGCCAGTCAGGTGGGGCGGGGTGTCGATAGGCGGAGGTCGAGAGCTGGAGGTGGAAGAATGCGGGTCGAAGTCTGATGGTGGGTGGAGGGGGTCGGAACTTGCAGCTGAAGTTCAGTCAGGCGAGGTGGGAAGTCGCTAGGTGGAAGTCGAAGGCTGGTCTTGGAACACTAGGGATCGACATCGGTTGGTGGACGGTGGAAGTCGCAAGTTGCAAGCTGGAGGTCGGTCGGGTGGGGTGGGGAGTCGATGAGCGGAGGTCGAATGCCGGAAGTGAAAGATTGGGGGTCGACAACTGATGGGTGATGGTGGGGGTCGGAACTTGGAAGGCGGGGGGCGGTTATGCGATGTGAAAAACCCAAGGGCGGAGGTCGAAAGCTGGAGGCGGAAGATCGGGGTGCAACTGCTGATGGTGGATGGTGGGAAAAAGGAACTGGAAGCTGGAGGCTGGTCAGGCGACGTTGAAGCTGGGCGCCGGCATGGCGGGGCCAGTGATCAATGCGAAGGTCGGGGGCCGGGGATGGAAGACCGCCCGGGGCGCTGCGGGCGCGGCGTCGGAGCGCCGGGGCGTCAGACATCGCTGTCGGTTTTGTTCCAAAGTTCCCGTTCCAAAATTATGCCAGAGGTCCGTCGAACGGCCGCCCGCGCGACGGGCGTGGCCGGGGGCCGCGGGTCAGCTCTAATCCATCGGCGCAGTCATCCCACATGGGAGGCCGTTTCTTCTCGCCGCGTCGCGGGGGTGGCGGCGCTGGAGGGGGGGCGTGCGAGGGGAGGGTGGGCGGGTGGAGGTTTCGCAGGTCACGAGCCGCTAAAATGCGCGCCCGCGCGGTTGCCGCCCGTCTGCCGGGGGTCCGCCGAGCAGCCGCCTGTGCGATGGGCGTGGCTAGAAGCCGCGGGTCAGCCCTAAGCCGCCAGCGCCGCCGTCTCTCAGCGCGCGCATGGGAGGCCGTTTCATCTCCCTACCAATCGGACATGGGATGCGAGGGGGAGATGAGGGGGGGGGGCGCTTCGTGCCTAGGCACTGTCTCAGCTACAAATTGCACTAACAATGTTGCATTCCGCTAGAACCAGCGGACAGGCCAGCCTCGAGGCCAGCCTCGCAACGCAAGGCGACGCACAGGATCTGTGCTAAGCCCGAAAAGAATATACGAAAAGCACGATGGGACCAAGGTGGCGGGGGGCAAACCCAAAAAACCCGGGGCAACAACCCAAGAACTAGTATATCTCGCATTGCCGCTTTTTTGCTGCCAGACCTCTGCGCAGCACAGTACAGACGGCATGGCATTAATAAACAATACTCGCGCGCTTGAACCTCTGACAGGCCAGCCAGACAGGCCAGCCTCACACTCTGCCAACAGGCGCTGCAGCACCGACCAGCTTCGGTCACCCAAATTTCTTAGACTGCTCCTGCACAAGCAGCGCTCTTCTGCTCATTACGGGTAACAGCCCAAAAGCTGCGCACGTAGAATTCAGACACCTGTTCACTTGCTTCCTTCGGCAGCAAGCCTGAATATGGACGGGTGGCGGCGGTATTACTTGTTATGCACGTGGAGGAAGCATTTCGTGATTCATCAGGCGCTGCAGCACCGACCAGCTTCGGTCACCTTCGGTTTCCCTGGCTGCTCCTGCACAAGTCGCACACCTCTTGACCTAAAGGGTAGCAGCCCAAGAATTGCACGCTTGCTGTGCAGGCCCCTGTCAGTTGCTACCTTTTGCAGCAAGGCTGAATATATACGTTGGGTGGTGGTACTACTTAAGTGGTGGTGGGATATCAATACACTTCAGGCGCTGCAACACCGACCTATTCTGTCACCTTCAGTTCTTCAGACTGCTAGCGCAAGCAGCACACTTCCTCACTTGTTAAGGCTGCGGCCACAAAACTGCATCGGTATGCGTTCACATGTAGGAGGCAGTTTGTACCTAGAATATGCGTAGCTGTGACATGATATTGTTGTGGATTGTCGGTGGCTAACACAAGGTGCATCCTGTCTCCTGTGCCTTGCGGGTGCAGACTAGCTGTTCTACTCTCTGCCGCCTTTCTCTCTTTACAATTGTTTCTGCGGCGCCCGCCAGGTACCATTGCCCCGAGTCGGACTTGATCTGCGTTGCCACAATCGCTCAAACACGCTACAGGTTTGATCCGTAAGTTGGTCGACCGTAGAAAAAAGAGGGGGGAGAGGATGATAATGGTGAGGACGAGAAGGTAACAGTTCCTTCCCTTCCCTTCCCTCCAAAAGGAGGAGGCGGTTCATTCCCTTCCCTTGCCCTCAAAAAAGAGAAGGAGTAGGATGGAATTCGTTTCTTTCCCTTTCCGTCATGAAGGGGCAGCTGACGATGCTGATGAGGAGGAGGATGAGGATGAGGAGGAGGAGGAAGAGGAATTCCTTCCCTACTCCACCCCTCAGGAGGAGGAAGAGGAGGAGGAGGAGGAGGAGGAGGAGGAGGAGGAACAGGAGGAGGAGGAGGAGGAGGAGGAATATGAGGTTCCTTCCCTTCCCTTTCCCTTAGGGAAAAGAAGGACGAAGAGAAGGAGGAGGTTCAGTCCCTCCCTTTTTTCCTCAGGGTGGAGGAGGATACCGTCCTGTCCCCGCACGAATGAGGAGGAAGAGGATGTGAATTCCATCCCCTTCCCCTCAATCAGGAGGAGGACTAAAATCAGGTTGTTCTCTTTCCCTTTTCCGCCAGGAGGGAGAATAGGCTGAGGAGGAGGGGGGGGGGCTCCACAATCCACCCCCCAGGAACGAGGGGGAGGAGGAGGAGGAGGAAGAAGAGGAGGAGGCGGGGGAGGAGGATGAGGTTCCTTCTCATTCCTTTTGCCTCAGGAAGGAAGGGGAGGAGGACGGGGAGGACGAACAGGAAGACGAGGAGGAGGAGGAAGAACAGGAGGAGAAAAAGGAAGAGGTTCCGTCCCTCCCCTTCCCCCCCAGGATGGGGGAGGAGGAGGTTCCACCCTTTCCCCGCAGGAGGGAAGAGGAGGTTAATTTCCTTCCGTTTCCCTCAGAAACGAAGGTGGGTCTCGTTTCCTCCCCTTTCCAGCATGAAGGAGGAGGAGGTCCATTCCCTTCGACGACGAGGAGGGGAATGATGAGGAGGATCATGATGGGGAGGAGGAGGATAAGGAGGAGGAGGAGGTTCCTTCTCCCCCCCCTTCTCCCTAAGAAGATGGGGGGTCATCCCCTTCTTTTTGCCACCAGTAAGGAGGAAGAGGTTTCCTCCTTTCCCTTTGCCCAAGGACAGAACATGATGATTGGGGTATAGGGGTTCCTTCCCTTCATTTTCCTTGGGGAAGGAGAAGGAGGAGAACGCGGAGGAGGAGCAGGAGGAATATGACGAAGAGAAGGAGGAGGAAGCTCCGTCGTACCATTTCCCTCAGGATCGAGGAAGAGGAGGGGATTCCGTTTTCCCCCAAGCAATAGAAGACTGACATTAATTATTGCCCCTTGCCCTCAGGAAGGAGGATGCTATTTTCTTCCCTTCCATGCCCCCCGATGAAGGGGGAGGTGAAGTCCCTTCCCTTCCGTTGGGTAATGGGGGGAGGAGGAGGACGAGGAGGAGGTGGAGTAGGAGGAGGAAGATGAGGAAGAAGCGGTTGATGATGCTGATGCTGATGATGAGGAGGAGGAGGAGGTTCCTTCTCCCCCCCTTCTCCCTAAGAAGATGGGGGGTCATCCCCTTCTTTTTGCCACCAGTAAGGAGGAAGAGGTTTCCTCCTTTCCCTTTGCCCAAGGACAGAACATGATGATTGGGGTATAGGGGTTCCTTCCCTTCCTTTTCCTTGGGGAAGGAGAAGGAGGAGAACGCGGAGGAGGAGCAGGAGGAAAATGACGAAGAGAAGGAGGAGGAAGCTCCGTCGTACCATTTCCCTCAGGATCGAGGAAGAGGAGGGGATTCCGTTTTTCCCCCAAGCAATAGAAGACTGACATTAATTATTGCCCCTTGCCCTCAGGAAGGAGGATGCTATTTTCTTCCCTTCCATGCCCCCCGATGAAGGGGGAGGTAAAGTCCCTTCCCTTCCGTTGGGTAATGGGGGGAGGAGGAGGACGAGGAGGAGGTGGAGTAGGAGGAGGAAGATGAGGAAGAAGCGGTTGATGATGCTGATGCTGATGATGAGGAGGAGGAGGTTCCTTTCCTTCCCTTCCCCTAAGAAAGGGTGGGGGTCCACTCCCTTGCCTTTTCCAGCAGTAAGGAGGAGGGGGGGTCCTTCCCTTCCCTTTGCCCCAGGAAGGGGGAGGATGATGAGGGGGAGGAGGAGGTTCCTTCCCTTCCCTTTACCCTAGGGAGGAGGAGGAGGAAGACGAATTGGTTCCTTCCCTGGCCTTCGGGAAGGAGGACGAGAAGGTTCCTTCCCTTCCGAAGGAGGTAGGGGAGGAGGAGGAGGAGGAGGAGGAGGTGGAGGAGTAGGAAAAGGAGGAGAAGGAGGAGGTTCCTTCGTTTCCCTTACCATCCGGAAGGAGGAACAAGGATGCAGTTCCTTCCCTTCCCTTCCCCGCACAGGAAGGAGGAGGAAGAGGAGTTGGAGAAAGAGGAAGAAGACTGTTGAACACGCTGTGTTTTACAATGTGCATGATTTCGGACGTCGGGAAGATACAATGCAAAACGCAAGGCTTCGGATGCCAGACAGCTGAAAACGCTGCGTGTTTGCAACGTGTTGGTTTTCGGAGATCAGAAAACATTGTGAACACAGTGCTTTGGATGTCTAACGATTGAAAGCATAACGTTTTACAGTGTTTCTGGTTTCTGGCATGAGGAAACATTGTATGAAACAAAAAGGGTTGTTGACACCCGAAAACGCTGTGATTTACAAGGCGTTTGTTCTTGGATGCTAGAAAATCGTAAGCGCCACGATGATCTGGGGCATCTGTCTTCTGAAACAATGTGTTTCAAAATGTCTTCGTTTAGCGCATTAGACAATATGGAGAAACACCATGTTCTGGAGAACGGACCTACCCGTCAGAGAGCCAGAAAATCAAATCAACCTCCCCACCAAAAAAAAAACTGAAAATTTGATCGAGGACCAATTTGTTGTTGTTCCCCCGAAAATATGCCCTTGATCCAATGTTATCGTTTTGTTTGGGGGGAGGTCGATTTGTTTTTCGGGACCCCCTCGGAATTGAGGAGAGAGAAAAAGAAAGAGAGAGAGAGAGAGAAAGCGAAAGAAAAGAGAGAGAGAGAGATCTCGACAGAGAAAGACGAGACTGAACAAAAACAATGAAAAACTAATCCTTTAAAGGGAAAGACGAGACAGAGAAAGAAAGAGAGCGAGAGAGAGAGAGAGAGACAGACAGACAGCAGACAGACGCTTCCAAGCTGCCCCGAAATCGCCCCTCCAGAAGTGATCGCTCTCTCCTCCTCCTCCCCCTCCGTCTCCTCCTCCTCCTCCTCCTTCTCCTCCTCCTGCTCCTCCTCCTCTCTTTCTGTTCCCCTTTCTTCTCCTCCTCCTCCTCCTCACCGTCCTCCTCCCAGCTCCGCCGCCCTGCCGGCGCAGGCGTACCTCACGTGCTTCATCACGCTCCATATGCCGAGGATGCGCTGGGCGTGCTCCTCGCTGAGACTCGGGGCACTCGAGAGGGAGAAGGAGGAGGGTCCGGAGAAGGAGGAGGAGGAGCAGCAGCAGCAGGAGGGGGAGCCTGGGCTGAAGAAGGCGGCCAGCACTCTGAGATGGCGACGGGCCTTCAGCGGAGGCAGGCGACCGCCGTGCAGAGGGAGCCCGAAGGCTGGCCGCCCGACGCCAGGACACGACTACCCACCAGACCACCCCAACCCAACCCGAAGACCCGAATTTCGGGTTGAGGGGGGGTAAGGGTTCCACATGTGTTTTTCGATGTTCCCCGACCCCCCCCCATCTGGACACCGAGGGTGAGTCTGAGCCTTCGGGTTGGGTTGGGGTGGGTTGGTGGGTGGTGGTGAGAACACCCCGCGCGCGGCCCACGCGCTCCTCCCTGAGATTCGCGCCGCCCGTGTCCGCCTCCGCGGGCGGCATCGCCGCCGCCGAGTGCAGCAGCTCGCCGATCGTCCACAGCACCAGGGGGGACTCGAAGAAGTCTGCCAGCCTCGGCTGCCCCGATACGCAATACGCAACACGTACCGTTGAGGTACGGAGCTCAACACGTAGGCTGAATACGTGGGTCCGACGCGATACACTCGCCAAGACGTGGTCCAATGCGTGGAGCCGACACGCAACGTATTGGCACGGACGTCTTGAGTACGGTAAGTGTGGCGTATCAGAACGTGCGTATCCAGGCAGCTAAGCTGCCAGCAGGTGCGCCGTGGCGAGGCGCAGGCACTCCTTCAGGAAGGGCGAGAACCCGAGCTTTGCGGCCTGCATGGAGAGGTGCAAGCCGTGCAGCATCCACAGCCGCACCGGCTGCGCCGTCTCCTCTCCACGACCGACGAGCATATCCATGTCCACGCCCTTGCGGTCTGGAGGCCGAGGCGTGATCCCATGGATGCGCGGTCGCACGGCTGCGCTCCGCGCGGAGTGGTATCCGCGCGGACGGAAGCCCTGCATACGTGGGGCCTTCCTCGCGGGGCCCGCACACCGCCGAGGCCGTGGACACGAATAGTTACGCCTCCGGCCCGCGATCCTTCGCCAACTTCAGCAAGCACGGGACGATGTTGATCAGGTACGGGCACTGTATCCCCTGCGGTCTCGGTGCCCCAGGGGGGGACTGCAGCGCGCCGCCCCACTCGAAGGCCCGCAGCACGGAGCCGCAGAGGAGCGCCAGCGCCGAGCGCACTGGGGCGGAGTCGGAGGAGCTCTCTTGGCCGAGGAACTGCAGGATGCTGGGAACGATGGGCGACTCTGGCAAGCGGTGGTGGATGTAGAAGAGCAACGAGAGGATCTCTACGTGGAGGCGCCGGATGGCTGGATTCGCGTCCCTCAAGCCCTCGAGCGAGACCTGCAGGATTTGCTCCGCGGGGGCGGCTGGCAGCCCACACTTGATGCCCCGCGCCCGCGCGTGCTCGCGCAGATACACGAGTATCGCGACGGACGCGACGACGCTGACCTCGCACTGGGGCGCGCTCCCCTTCTTGCCGTGGCCACCAGAGCTGTCCTAGAAGAAACAACAAGCTGCCTAACCAGAAACGTTTGGAGGTCCGCGAGGATCTCTTGGATCGGCGCTGGACCCGCCTACATGGCGCGCGGAGGGCGCCAGAGGCGGCGCCGGAGGCGCCGCCAGGGAGGGGGGCTCCAGCGCCGAGCCGAGAAATCTGCGCAGATCCCCGACGGAATGCCGGTTTACCTTATCCGATGTCCTCTGCCGACTCGCGCTTCTTGAGCAGGTGCGTCAGTACAGCAGACCTCGGGGCCTCGCTCACTTCGCTCGAGTTCATGATTATGGCGAGCAGCGCCACGGCGCTGCAGCGCCACTCCCACTCGGGCGAGGAGCCCTGCGAGGCCATCGTCTTCTTCGGATCCGCCCACGCGTCCCATGGCGTCAACATCCCATCAATGCTGCCAGGACCTCAGGAGGCAACTCATTGGCGGTGTTCGCTGGAAAAACTATTCAAGGCTATGTGGCCCGATTCAGGGCCAATTCGGATGGAGTAAGCCAAGATAAACACAATATGAAAACGGACGACGCTGGATTAGGCCGTATCAAGCTGCACCAAGCAGGAGTTCGGGCAGTTTTCCACCACGGATATACTGGTGCCGATGCTGAATCTACCTTCCAAAAATGAAGGGGCCCTGGGACACACAAATAAATATACACAACTAATAGGATTCCCCTTGCTTTCCCATGTTTTCTGGGTTTTTGTCTTCCCCCCACTTCCCATATTTTCCCATATGTCCCGGGGAATCGACGATTAATTGTGTCTGTGTTGTTTCCCCTCCTGAAAAAAGTTGCAGCCGAAAGGACCCTCGCGAGGGGCACCGCTGAAGAAGCCAGAGGAGGCGGCATCGCAGAACGGGTCGTGCGAGCTGCTCCCGGGCTCTGTGCGGGAGCCCTCCAGCGACGTTGACAGGAGGCGGGCCGTCGCCAGCCGCACCGTGGCTGCGCTGTCCCTGCTGGAGTCCATGTAGGGGTCCACGAGGTCCAGCACGACATCGTCCGAATTCAGGTAGTGCGCGACGAAGTCCGCGACTGGGAAGTCCAGAGGCAGCGGGCGCGTGACGTCGTCGGCCAGCATGTTCAGTAGAGGGACGAACCTCTGAGAGTACTGCGTCACCGCGAAACATCTGTACCTTAGAGAACACATGCGCAACACACACACACACACACACACACACACACACACACACACACACACACACACGCGCACGCGCACGCACACACACACACACACACACACACGCGCACGCGCACGCGCACGCACGCACGCACGCACGCACGCACGCACATACTCACGCGCACACGCACACAAACACGCACACGCACACGCGCACGCACTCCCACACACACACACACACACACACACAGACACACACACACACACACACGCAGACACACACACACACACACACACACGCACACACACACACACACGTAAGTGAAGAACAATGCGGGGATAATTATCATACGAATTCCCTGAGTATTTGTATCAGTCACTGCCGTCGCACTCCCATGCCAGCGATACCTACTAGTATGCGCGGACTTTTGGGCCGAAGTCCGCTTGAGCACCAGCCTAAACTTCACTAGAGCCCAAATCGGCTGCAGCACGGGCCCCGCGTGACACAGCCTCCCAAACTTCAAACGTGTGAGCCCGAAGCCCCGAGGGCTTTCATCTGCACAAACATACATAATAGCCGGCCGTGTTAAAACGCACACACAGACACATGCACAACAGACTCGCCTTTTCGTGTGGAGGGGAGGTGAAGCCAGCGGCTGTCATGCCAAGAGGCCTTTATGCGCGGTTGGGTTATTCCCCACGTTTCGGCCTGAGGCCAGGGCGGGTCAAGGGCTACAGGCGGCGCCCGCGAAAAAACGAACGAGGCAGAGGAGGAGAGGGGAGGCAAGAGGTAGAGACTCAGAAGGCGTGGCCTCAACAAATTTGCAAATTTGTCCTCGAACGCCCGTTCGATGTTGGAGCTTCCCGGGTGCGGCATGTGGCCGAACCACGGCAAGTAATGAAATTATGGCCGAACCACCCCCGAAAGAGTGAGATAATGAACGACCAGACCCCGTTTCCTACAACCCACGGCGCCTGTGTAGCCAGCCCGCCCAGGACTGCAGCAAAGAAGCTGCGAACATCGAGGAGAACGGGCCAGATCCGAATGAAGCCAACGATGATACCCATGCATTGGCAGAAATGCCAAACGGCCGACCCTGAGACAGAAATGCTAGGAAACCTAATTGAACAAGTACTGGAACGTTGGGCCCTTTCGGGTGGCTCAGGCCGGCGTTAGCTCCTGCAGCACGGTGGAACTCCACGTTCCCTCGTCGGTGAAGTGCTGGCACAAGAGGTCGCCAGCCTTTGCGACAGTGAGTTCCTCGAGCGAATCGCCCTCCGCGCCCAGCCTCACGAGCTTGTTGGAACACTGGCCACTCGACTTGAGTTTGCCTACGCCGGTCCCCCACTGGCGCCGCGTCGTCGGAAGCGTCCCCGCCACGTCCTGAGCTTCGCAGCGATCCACGGTGATGCCAGCCATGGGCAGAATCTTCTTGTGCGTGCCGAGGTCGGTGGTGGGCTTGCACGCTGCCGTCGCCACCTGCGGCCGACCGGCCGCCGGAGCGCCACCCGCCGAGACCGCCAGGGAGGCCGAGCCGCCCGTGGCCACGTCCGAGGTGTTGCACTCGATCTTGGCGATCGCGGTCTTCTGTCCGGCCTGCTCCACGGCGAGCGAATCCACCTGGCTGCGGAGCTTCTTGAACGCGGGGACCTCCTCCAGGTTGAAGCGGGACGTGTCTGCCGAGCCGGGCCCGCCTTGGGAAGCGCCGACAAACTCCTTGAGCTAGGTTACGGTGTGCTGGAGGCGGGAGTCGCCCGTCCGCTGCTGGCGTACCTCTTCCGTCTGGGCATGAATCAAGATGCCCGTCAAGGCCTCGGCCAACTCGTGAGTCGAAGGCGATGGGCACGGCGCAAGCGGAGGCGGGGCCGGCTGGGGCTGCGCCGGCGCTGGGTGGCGCCGGGACAGCGCCGATCCAACCTGGGCCATCTGGCCGAATGCCGCTAGCGCCTCCATCATCTGGTGGAATTGGCTGGCAAACCGGCCAAACCCGCTGAAGCTGTCCTGGCGCGGCTGCTGCTCGCCACGCTAGGGGATCCAATGCTGCGTTTGTGGCTTGCCGCCGCCGCCGCCACAGCCGCCGCCTTGCCGACCACCGCGGCCGCGGCCTCGGCGCGACATGCCAGGCTGCGGCGGCGAGCCTGAGGTGCTAGCGCCTCCGGCAGGAGGCGCGAGGGCAGCGGCTCGCTCGATCTGCGTTCGGGCCTGATGGCAATGATCGCGTTGCCGGCAGAGCTTCGGGCTGGGCCGCATCAGGTCTGGGGCAGACTGGGGTGCCAGACGAAATGCCAATTGAACGAGTTCTTGAAACGTATTGTGGGGCTCAATGTTCACCCAAACCTTGCAAACGCATGAGTGCGAGTATCCGAGGTGTACGTGCAGCAGCAGAATGTTGACGCATATGAGATACAAGGGTATACCAATAACGCGTATGAGATACAAAAATATACCAATACAGTTTCCTACCGTGTTCCAGCGAACGACTCGCCCCCGAAGCTCCGCGCGGTGCAGGCGCATGGCTTTGGGGCTACCCTCGAAGGTGTAGGGCTGAGTCGACTTCTTGGCCAGGTCGCTGCTCTGGCCACTCCACGCAAATCTCTCGTTCTTACGTTTGGGACTGAATGCGAAACTTGAAATCCCAAACTTTATATCACCATCCAAGGAACGCGGAATTACAATACCTGCTTGCCATAATGGAAATTCTTCGTCCACCTGAAGAAAGCGACGTTTGGACGCGTGTGCTGGATCACGCGTTTCAGAGCGCGTTTCAAACACTGGCGGCGCCATGCTCTGGAGAGGAGCAACACATCGTCCACGTACAGGCCCGATGCGAAGGTGCATTTCCTATGACGGTGGCGCTCGTCATACGCGTGCTCACGATGCCTCAAGACGATATCGAGGACGTTTCCACTGATGTGGCCCCCGATCGGGATCCCCCGCAACTGCTCCAATAACACACTGCCGACCCTGAAGAAACGCATGCCAATGAATCCACGCACTGCACGTTTCAAGCTTTGAAATCTGAAGACAACTAGATCGTAGCGCTGGATCTCGAAGTCGCCCCCCCAAGACGGTCCCAAACCCCCTTGCCATCTGAACGGCAGTCAATGTGCGATGTCGGGTCACCCTCTCCGCGGAAGAGAACAAGTTTCGACCGCATCGTAAATCGAAGACGTCTTCAGGTCCTCGCAGGCCTGTCCTGCGCCGCGCGCGATCATTGTCGCGTGGCTCATTGACGCGCCGCAGCACTGGAACTGGTAGCTCGCCAAGCGGTCGGGCCAGACTGGTGGGTCCAACCTGCCAGCGCGGCATCGTGAAAGACTTGGCGCTTGGGCCATGTCTGGGAGGCCCCATCCTGGAGTGGCATAGTGGACCAAATGACGCAACCCACGCACCGATCTGTCGGTGCAGTTTTCTCCTGGGTATCTTGACGAAAGAACAGATGTTGCGATAACAACTGTGGTCTCGATCGGAGCATCTGCGAAGTAACCGGGGACCCCAATAATGGAGTGCGCGCGCGGGAGGTTCGCGAAACCAAACTTCGAAAAGCCTCTGAGCAATGCGTTTGACAGTGTTAATTCGGGAACCACTCTGTACCAAGCAAGCACCTGTTTAGGATCAAGAGCGCGAAGTCGCCATCTATGGGGGCCCGAAATAAAATTATGAGCCGTCGGATGATCAGGCAGAGTGGCGCCGTGCACCAAACATTAAACGCACCCTTATCTTCAACTGCGATGCAGACCCTTGTTCGTTGCTCCTGAAGATGTTCCACCGCGTCAACGGCCAGGACAACGAACTTCGAAGCATCGGATTCCCGGGTGTCTCGAGAGCGCCAGGGCGGACAGGGAGGCCTGCGCAGGGCCTCGCGAAGGAACTCTCAAACGCGCAGCAAGGCCCCGCAGCGCAGCCAGATGTCCGACCGGGCAGATCCTGGGAGACCTTGTGAGGGGGCCCGCCCGCTGAGGTCCAAGCGCTCGATGTCCTGGCCAGAGACGACGAAATCGAGGGTCGGCTGATCGAGATTAACCAGATCTTCAAAGAGGAACTCCGTGAGACAACGAATCACGCTGACGGCCAACCGCTTCAACGGCGGAGTCGGTCTGACAGAAAGTCGGAGATGCGCGAGTGCAAGTAAGAGACACTGCGGACGGCCCAGTCCTTCTTCAAACAATAGCTGGCGAATCCAAGACCGCACCGGGCGCGCCCCACTGTCATGAGGCACAAGTCTGTGAGCGTGCTTTGGTATAGGGGTCTGTAGAAATACTGCAATGCTAGAGATGTGTGCTCGGGTGCGCACGCGGTCACGGTAGCGCGGTAATAGTACTCGCGCGCCAAAGAACGCAGAGAAAGTCACGAGCATGAGCTCGAGCGCGCCGTGCACGGAACCAACAAATCTCCTGAGGCCGAAAAGAAGCGCATTTCAATAACAATGGCGCGTTCCAAGGACATGAGCATCCAGAGGGGGCCCGCCGTGCCGTGCGCGGCCACTGCCTCGGCCTGGAAGCGCCGATGCGCATCGTGAAGGGGCCGTCGAAGAACAGCCTGAAGACGAGACTGACGTACGAGAAATTGCTTGCGATTCGAATGTTCTCGTGCATGTGATTCAAGAGCGCAACGTAACCATAGGTCCACGGTGCCCTGAACAACGCCAAACAAATCTTTCTGAGAACGGCCGAAACGCCCATTACTTCGAAGCCGAAGTTTCGAGGTGCTGGGAGGTAATTCACGTCGGGGTGGAAGAGATTAGTGTGAGCCCATTCGAGGGCGCGTGCCTTCTCGGTCGCAACGTGGTCAAGTTTCAAACGAGATAGTTTAACAAAACCGTCCTTGGACAGGAATGTTTTGTACCGGCTTTGCTGAGGATGTCAGAACTGCTGTTGTGCGCTCCACCACCCATGAACGTTTCCCAGAATCGTAGGACCACTCCAAAACCAGGGCTTCCCTGCTGGTGCTGTGCAGTTTGGCCGATACACCGCCCGTCAATACTCAATTGATAGATGAAGTTTTGCGACGGGCCC